AACCGCCGAACTGCAGATAACAGTCAGCTGAAGTGGCCTGCAATACTGCACCCTAACCACTGCGCCACCTCGGCTCTTACCCACTTCACTTAAAATAGTGCAGAATGTATGAATAAAGAGATGTAGAAGGATATGCTTATCGTATCTGTGAAAAAATGATTATCGTAAGAAATCATAGCCAATTCTTTCTTCCTTCTACAGGATTATGTAAGCTGCCTTCAAAGACCACCATGATGGATGACATAGATGAGAAAATGGGGAAGAAGCTCAAATGGTAGGTATCAATTCCAGATATGACCTTTTAAATCTCTACCCATGTCAGAAATGTTCATACCATCACTTCAAGTCCTAAAAGTCCTTTCAACTTTTGGGATGATTTACTAAAATTACTAAAATTACTTTGGAGACAATCTATTATTATCTTTGTCTTCATTCTATTTTATTTTATTTTATTCAAAAGAAAATTGAAATACAAAACGCACAAAAAACCCTTTCTCCTTTCTTTTTTTCTTTTAAGGTTTGGCCAGAGTGACACCCTGCAAACAGATTATGTTGTCTATATGGATGAAATCTCCTCCAACATAGGTGTCAAGCCCAACATCCCACTTCTCTTTTTGAAGGATCCCTGGCTGGCACTGAAAGTCTTTTTTGGCCCCTGCAGTCCATATCAATTTCGTCTCACTGGGCCAGGGAAGTGGGATGGAGCAAGAGATGCCATCCTAACCCAGTGGGACCGAACATTGAAGGTCACAAGGACACGAACTGTACCCAACTCTCAGAAGTGTTTTTCTTTCTCTGTTTTGCTCAAAATCCTTGCAATTCCATTTCTCCTTGCTGCTCTTTTTATAGTGTTGAATTAGTAACTTCAATGTCAAATTAGATAATGTCGTGGGATTCTAAACTTGTGTTTTATTGGAAAGAAAATAATCTCAGGTTTTATAATAAACATTTCAAGAGTGCTGAACACCTGCATATACAGAGTCCACGTAAAATTTGACAAGCATTTTAAGAGATCATCAGCCGAGCATTACATCTGCCGATTCCTGTGCAGAAGCCAGATGTCTGGCCTCTCCTACAGCCTAAGCTGAAAATGCCCTGGACAACTGTGGCTAGTGACCAAAAGGGTTCTATGTGACAGATATTGAAGGTAGTTGCAATCAGGGATGGGTTTCAAAATTTGTTATTACCAGTTTGGTGGGCATGGCTAGGTGGGGGGGGGGCATGTGATTGAGTGTGTGTGGACAACTTGATGTCACTCACAACCATGCCCACTCAGTCAC